ACTACAGGACTTTGATCTCCAATATAAGAACACATACAAAAGGGAGGTGAATTTTACTGCTGCTGGTATAAAATCCTCATAATAACAGAGGTTAATGGGTGGGCAAGAGACCATACTTCCTTTCTAAGTACTGCTCAGGAGTGTGTGAGCATTAACCACTTGAATGCCATTTCATACATTAAGCAACCTCAGATTTCTAGGTGAATTAAAAACAAATTCCTGGGAGAGTTGTAGTTAAACCTCAGCAGACTTCCAAGACACCCACAGCATTCCAGCTATTGCTTATCTTCATCTGCATTGATGAAAATATCAAATTTGCTGCAGAGAGAACACATTTCTGGAGAAGTAAAAGGGCCTGTATTGGGGGGGGGGGCTGTGTCCACATCCCCAGCTGTTTTCCAATTCTTCAGCTGTCTATTCAAACTTAGCCCCTCAGAGGCAGCGTGGCAGCACCAGGGCTGAGGCCCCCCCAGGATCTCACTGATCTGCAGCTCACTGCCTGCCCACACGTACAGCGATGAATACACAGATCTCAAAACGATACAAGCTGCTCCCTGCTGCTGAATACATCAAAAATAAACTGGGCCAGAGCTCTGAAGAGTGTTTACCATTTCAGTCAGGATCTTCTTAATGCTATCCAGAAGTTGGGCCCTGCACCTAGTAATTGTATTATACAAAGTATATGAAGAGATGGGTCCAGGCTTAGCCAGGCACTTCCCCTCTGTGCCTGTCAGATTGCTTTTTCTCTTCTTCTGGGTCTGTTTCTCCTTGTACCTGTTGATTAGGACCCACTACAGCTAATATTTGCATTCTCTGGAATGCCAGTTCCCAACACTGCAGTGGCAAAGAGCAAAGCCCAAGATTTTCACTATGTCAGAAAGCAGCAGTATGTGCAGCTAGAATTGTTTTCATCTGCCTGAAAGATTCGCTTTTAAAACAACATCTTTTGCTTGTGTCTTGCTTCTTTTATTAACAAGAACTTGAAATGATGGAAAATGTTTCAGAAGTGCTGTAGCACAGCCTTCCAGTGCTCTACTACTTAAAGAGCTGATGAAATTGGTATGTTCCCCTGAAACATTCTCCTGCCAATTTGGCATTTTCATTGGAAACAGTCCTGTCTGATTGTTTTTGACCAGTTCGCAGTCTGACAAGTTCCCACAGAACTGTCTGTGTGCCATGGCTGATATCACGGCTCCTGCTGCATTTTCCATATTGGATGGCATGCTGCTAGAATCAGACAGCTCTGTTATGAGGCTCTGGGTCAGGAAACTGCTGCCAGATACATGCTTTAGACATAATCCTTTGCCATGCAAAAGGTGGGGCCTCCCCACCACACCAAGCAGCCTCTGGACCACCACCCTCACGGCACATTCTCAAGTCATGGCCATGGCCAATCTAGCTGCTGAAGTCTCACATTTTCCTCAGTCTCTGACCTCTATGGTCAGGACATCCATCTGGACATGGATGCATGACTGGAGATCCCAACATCAGCCTCCCCTTGCAAGCACCAGATAAAGGCTGCTTTTCAGCCATTCAATGAGCTCTTGGCTTGGTTGTTGCAAGCTGCAGTCTTCTCAGCCCATGCCCTAACAACAGCATGCCTGGGTTTCAGCACACATTCTGTTTTCACCCATCTGCTTTCAGCAGACACCTCACTGTGGCTGGAGGCCCCATGAGGACCAGCTCCAGGGACACACTGATGGTTGGTGTGACACTGTGTGATGGTCCTTGTGAGATACAGTGTTGTTTCTTCTAGCATCAAGGGCTGGAAAGTTTGGAAATATTTGACATCCAAATATTTGTGTGGATCTAACTCCAAGAAACCATTAGAGTTTAATAAACAGGTTTCAACAATAAGCATTTATTTTCATTGATCTAACTAAAATAAGTCTTCTTTCAAAAAATGCACTGAACCTACTGGTACATCTGTGGCATTCCTGTGCTATGAGAACAGTTAGACTAACATGAAAATAGGGTGTGACCAGAGCTAAGTCCAGTGTTTGTACCTAATCCAGCAAAACCTAGGAAACAATCAACCTGCTTTAACAGCATAAAGTTTTGCTATTTTACTGGGAAGAAAGCTTGAAAAACATACTATTCAACCACATGTCGTCTTTCTCACAGATTAGGGAGTAAGGATGGAAAATACTGGAGACAAACAAGTCTCTTCCAAATTATCTAAGTGGGAATGGACATGCTAATGCTGTGCAGCCGGTGAGAATACTGTGGGGAGCCAAAGCCTCCTGTAGGAAGCCTCAGCAACACTCTGCTGTGTGCAAATCCAGCGCTGGCATGGGCCTATGTTTTGCCCAAAGATGAGCTGATCCCAGGGTCACAGCTGGGAGTTGTGTGTGGTCCATATCCTGCAGAACCTCGGGGTGTAGCCTGCAGAGTTCAGCTCATCTGCACTTCAGATTCCATAAATGGGAAACAAATTTTTTAAAGAGTGTCCTCAATGAGTACAAATGGCTTTTTCCAGCTCTAGTCTGTTTTGCTCCCTGGTGGGGAGCACTTCTTCACACAAACTTCTCCCAGTCGATAGAGTGAAAATCCTAATGTATAGTTAGTGTATGTGTGAGGGTCACACAGCTGTCCCTTCAGTAGACATTAATCCTACATCCAGAACTATGCAAGAGGTTAATGTTTGCTAATCTAACAGACTCTGTTTCTCTCCAGTCCTGCAGGGATGAAAGGATGTGAGCTTCACTTAAGCTTTTTAAGTTTGGTTTGTGATGGATTCTGCCTGTTATTGCAAATGCAAGGGATGGGGGTGGATATCTGCCTCTGCTCCTAACCAAGACTTTCCAAGCCAAGAATATTGTCACTATTACTTGCAAAAAGTAAAACACTCCTTGTTGTCTACTGGAGAGACAGAAGAATTCCCCTGCATGAGCTCAGAGAATAGACAAGGAGAAAGGGGCAGCAGGAACACAATTGCTTCCAAGCAAGGCAAGTCCTGTGCTTGGAGCTGTGCTTTGCAGATGCTGAGCTATTAGAGCAGGAAAAACACAAACAGTTGCATCTGTACTTTTCCTTTCAGACCAGTGAGAAACTGTCTCTCAGGAATGGGCCAAGCAAAGCTAGCCCATGTTATGGCTGAAAGGGCTTACTCTCCCATACCAAAGGCAACTCTGAAGGCAACTTTGCAGCCTTCCCCAGAACACCGTCCTCTTCCTTGTTCTACTGCAGGTTCACTCACACTGCAGGCTTTACCCAGATAATACAGCAGCATAGGAATTCCCAGAAAAGAACACATAATTCTCTTTATGAAAATTGCAATCCTTTTAAAAAATGGTGGAAAAGTTCGACTTTACACACCACAGAGGCACCTCATGGAAGTAAATAAAAGAACATTGCTCAGGCAGGGCAAGGAATATTATCTGGCACTGTATCAAGGAAATCATGCTGTGACCCAAATGCTGGTATTTGGATTCAACCCTAAATTACAGTAAATTAAAATAGGAAGTAGCAGGCTAACATCCTCCTGGAGAGTAGGGGACAGGGAGGGAGGGAAGGGGGGAGGGTGAAAAAAGAAAAAAGAAAAGGAAAAAGAAAAAGAAAAAAAAAAGAAAAAAAAAAGATAAAAAAAGAAAAAGAAAAAGGAAAAGAAAAAGGAAAAGGAAAAGGAAAAGAAAAAGAAAAAGAAAAAGAAAAAGAAAAAGAAAAAGAAAAAGAAAAAGAAAAAGAAAAAGAAAAAGAAAAAGAAAAAGAAAAAGAAAAAGAAAAAGAAAAAGAAAAAGAAAAAGAAAAAGAAAAAGAAAAAGAAAAAGAAAAAGAAAAAGAAAAAGAAAAAGAAGAAGAAACAGGATAAGGCTGTAACTTCAGAATTTCCTGGGTTTGAAATGAGGTGGCTCTCTGCTATCCAGTAATTGACCATCCACTTGAAAGTAGCCATTGGGCTAGTCCCGTCAGAAGGCAGATACAGAAGCGAAATAAATGCTTCTGTGCTCTCTGTGCTACCTAAAAGTGCACAGCCTTGCATGAGCCTGGGCTGGAAAGACATTAGCAGATGACAGCATTACTTTTTACTGCAGGTCTAATTACATCCAAAGTTTAACTTGAGAACATCAAATCAATACCCTTTTTTTTTTTTTTTTTTTTTTTTTTTGGTTCTGCGCTGTGAAAACGAATAGATGAGCGCAACTGACCCGCGTCTGTGGGCGGCGGGGAGATCTGAGTCTGTGGGCGGCGGGGAGATCTGAGCGCCTGCGGCGGGCTACGGAGTGGAGCTTTTCTGCCTCTCCCCTCCCAAACCCGCACGAGGAGAGAGCCCGTTTGCATCCCTTGCCGCTCCCAAGCTCGATGTTGCCAGCAGATGATCCTAAATGCGCGCAGACGGATCGATCGGGTGAGCCCGGTGCCTCCCACCCGCAGCAGACGGGTGGCTGCGGGACCGCACTCTTTCCCGGCACCCCAGACGGCGGATCGATCGATCATAGACGAGCTATAGGAGGCCTCGGGATTTCAAGAAAGAATGAACTGTGGGGTTTATTCAGCCTTCCTGCGACTCCCACCCCCGTCGTTGAGCGCGAACAAAACCTTTCCCTGCGACTGTCAAATGCCCGTCGCTCACATGCCTCTGCTGCTGGTGGAAACTGCTCCCGAAACTGAGCAGCCCCCCGCGAAGGGCCAAAGGGTGAGGGAAAGTGGACCCACGTTCAGAGTCGATGGGTTTGCAGAACAACAACGGGGGGGGAAAGGGGGTGGAGGGAAGGGGGGAAAAAAAAAAAAAAAAAAAAAAAGCCCTACTTTATAGCTTTCCTGGGACTTCAGGATTTTGCGTTTCTATTTTTACAAGAATGGGCTGATTTGTCTTAGGCTATTACTGTCTATTACTGCTGGAAGTCCCGGGGAAAGGTGGGAAGCAGAGAATTCTGGCAATCTGCCTAAAGAGAAATCAATGAAACAAATTAATCCTTCGCAGGCTGCAATGACACAGTAATCCATCATTCAGAGCTGCTTTTATACACCAAATCAGAGAGCAGAGGAAAGAGCCCTGGGGGACATCACAGACAACAACTTACAGCAACACTGGGAAAATACTAAGGAATCAGTTTATTTAAAGAGGATAGATTTCAGTTGATTGCCTATTTCGTTTTATAGAGATTTTTCTTCCATAGTGCTGCGAAGCTCTGGGCGGATGGCTCTATCTGCTGCGCGCTGCCTCCCAGGGTCCCTTCCGTGGGCTTTCAGTAGGACTGGAGGGGGGAAAAAAAGCAAAATAGAAGGGGTGGGAGGAGATAGAGTCTTTTTGCCAGTGACGGACAGGTGCCCGAATTTGGCGGCAGAGAAAGAGGAGGCTGCTGGGAGCGCCGTGGCTGAACAGGGCCGAGCCCTGCGGGCAGCGACCACCGTAATCCGGGGGCTGAACCCGACTGCCCCATTGCAGCGACGCTGGACGGGGCGGGGCGGCTATTCCGGGCGGGGACCTGGGGTGGGCAGCTGGGCTTAGCACCTAACCCCCTGAATGCCAGGGGTCCCCGCTTGCGGAGTCTCCCCCAGACCCAAAATGGGAGGGGGATGGGGCAGCGCCGAGGCACGGCTGGAGGTTGGTCCGCGGTTTCGCAGCGCTCTGGAAATCAGCGCAGAACGCATGGAGAAGCCCCAGGACGGAGCGGGGGGTGGCTGGGGAGAGAAAGGACTGCCGTTCTTCTGGAACGCGAATTCCGGGGTGCCGTTAGGAGAGCGTTACTTTAGCCTACCCTCCGCACCTCCCCGCCAAGGAGGCACAGGGGTAATTTTGGTAGCCCCCTTGCGTGTTGATTTTGCCACCCCGGATGCTCGGCAGGAATGTGCTATCCCGGCTTTTCCCTGCTCCGAGGAGATGGATAATGCGAGGACCTGGTTGTGCTGCGGGGTCAGGAGAAATATGCTAATTGGGGAACATAATTGCTTCAAGCGGTCATGCCTCTAAATACGCAGAACGCCACTGATGGAGTCAGTCTGTTACTAATAAAATGAAGAAGCACTGAATTAAATTCCCAAGAAAGGGACTATAAAAGTTTCCACAGTGTAACTAAATGACTTCACCTATACTATTACCCCACAGATGACATCTTGAAGGAAGGCAGACTCAGTACAGCCTCCATATTCGTAAATTGGCCGCACTTAGGCCACTAAACCTGAATTGATTTAAAAAGGCTTTTTCATCCTCCCAATCAAATGAAATCATTGCTAATTAGTTGTTTTCTGTTAACAACGTCGCTGTTCCCAGAGTTACCTGCTCACACATTTCATGAACTTTATGCAACGTCCAGATCAGCAGAGGTTGGAGAGTCACAGCTTTCGATGTTGGGATTTTGTTTTTTTGTTTGTTTGCTTGCTTTTTAGGGGAGGCTTCTGCATTGTGAGGATGAAAGGTGGTTTTTCTCTCTTGATTCTGCTTTTTGGGACAAACAGCATTCATCCACTCCTGGCAAGATCAGTGTCACCTCTGATTGTTCTAGAGGCCATAAATGTCACTGGAAGGGCTGTTTGAAGGGAGAACTTCCCCAGGGTGTGTTTTGAGCAGCGCACCACTTGCAGTGGGACAAGGGTCCCATTTTCAGTCTGGAGACACCTGCAGGGAGAGGCACAGCCCTGTGAGCAAGAAACCCAAACTTCCACCTGGAGCTGGGAATGCCTCCAAACAAAAGAGCATTCGCAGCCCCACAGTCTCAGGCTCTCCCAGCCCATAGTAAGAAGCGATGGAAGGGTGAGCTTCACTCATTTTAATGGCTTTGTAAAGTGCCTGTTTGCTTCCAAGTAGCTGCAGCAGTACAACTTTTCCCCATGGCTCGGGGCACTGCACAGCGGGGCACACGTGTGGGAGCGGATGCGGGTGGGTACCACCGGGCTGTCCTCACGCCGGGAGCAACGGGTTACAGGGAGCGCGTGGCAATAGCTGCATCCCCCCCGGGCTGGATGAAGAAAGCAGGGCATCCTGCCTAATTGGATGGAGCAGGTGTTTTGCCAAGCGCTTTGCACCTACAATGCTGACCTCTTCAGCATTCCCCGCAATCTTTTCTGCCGTGTAAGCCCATCTACATCCTACTTATAAAGATTCGGTCGTGTGCTTCATGTGTCTCTCCCTGAATTGGCTCCAAGTAAACGGATCAGGAATGTAAAACTATCCCCCCAAGACATACTACTAGGAATTGTCAAGGAGACTTTGGTCCACTATCCATGTCTATTATGCCAGTCACTCATAATGATCCCTTGTGGTGTGTCATACGTCATCATGACACTGATCCATGACACAGTTTAATGCTATTTGGGGATGCTCCGGCATCGCGCAGACTCCATCCTGTACCTTTGTAACTCGCTGCAGCTGATTCCCCTTCAGCTTCCACAGTACTGCGCAGTCTAAACCCAAAGCCACCGTCTCGAGCTCATCCCAACTGCACGCACTGCTCGGAGTTTCATCTATTTCTCTGGTGGGGAGGGGAGAGTGAGCTGTTATGTCTTTCCTCCACCTCTGTTCCATGCCGCATCCCACAGCCCAGCAGCTGCCCTCACCCTCCCATCCTCGCTGCTCTGCTCGTGCGGTCCCCACCGCCCGCGGTAGGTTACACCACGCGTGAAGCGTTCGGTGCTCCTCAAATCACGCTAGGAAAGATGATCACGTTTCCACAACTGAGCTATCTATATCGCGCGTGGGCGACAGGAGATGTCTCCGCTCTGCAAACACAAAAAGTCGCGTGTGCGGCGGGTACACGCAGCAGGCTGGGGTGGCCTCACCCCACGCAGGTCCACGTGCCAAGCACGACGCGTGCCTCTGCCTGTGCCTGTGCCTGTGCAGTCACGCCCAGCCTGCGGCCATGGCGTTGTCCCCGCGGCTCTACAGCCGTGATGTTAGCGTCTCCCAATTGAGCGAGCCGGGGAGGTGGGACGGGATACGACGGGACGCTCCCGCGGTAACCCTGTCCCGACGGCAGCGGGGGGCCGGGATGCTCCGGTCCCGCATAGGAGGATGCCCCATGCGGGATCCCGCCTACCCTTGGCCCGCCGATGCGCGGCGGCGCGGCCCCTCCGGCCCAGCCCTGCCTGGCCCTGTTCTGTTCGGGTCGGTTCTACGCGGCTCGGTTCGGTTCGGGATGCCGCGGCGTGTACCGTGTAACCGCCCTCGATGCAGCTGTTTCATTCCGGCTGCGGGAGGGAGGCAGACAATAGCGGCAGCTGAAACACCTGCGATCTATCACGGCAATAAAATATGTACAGTAATGTGGAGTAATTGCTCTTTCCGCTTCCAGAGGGAGCTCAAAGCTGGAAAATCAAGGTTGGAGTCTTCCAAACTGTAAACAATTTCCACAGGGCACATCCGAAGCATACGCAGATAGACAGGGAGACAGACAGGGAGAGTTCCCGGCTTGTCTCAGCAGGGACTTTAAGATGCGTTTAACACTGTGCGAAGAGGGATAAAGAGTCTGTCAGCGCGTATTAATCTGTTTAGCTGCAGCGCGGGGCTGCGAAACTTCTACCTGTGCGCAGCCGTGAGAAAACCAAGCGGGTGGTGAGAGGTGAGCAGGGTCCGCGCTGAGTCACGGCCGCATCGCTGCCGCTGAGGGAGCTCCACGCAATGCGCAGGGCCGGCGCCCGTGGGACCCAGGCACGGACCTCGCCTGGCTGCCCGTGCTCAGGAGTGCACCCCGTCTGCACACGGACACACCTCTGGGTGTTTTGTCGCCGTGTCTTCGCGGTCTAAGTGTGTGCCACACGTTATACGGGATGTATGTACCTCGTCTCTCGCAGCTCGGTAACGGCCGGCATTAAAAATTTAATGCTGACTCGGAAATGGCAAATTCTAACCAGGGCCGCCTTGAAGAGCAGCTGCAATTTGGGTTTGAGAAGATGCATTGCTCCTCTACTACTCCAAAGGCCAAAATTCATCTTCCCCCTCACCATCATCTTCCTCTTTGCCCAGCCCCGGTCGCGCTGCCTGCTCACCTGCACAGCTCGAGCTCACACCCCTGCCCCTGCCCCTTGTTGTCACTGCCCCTGCCCCGACCCCGCCGGTGCTGTCCCCGCCGCTCCCCACACCCGAGGTCCGCCTCCACCGCCCTCCCCGCTGCCGGTTCCTCGCCCTGCGTATAAATCATCGAGAACAAGTTGCGAGTTCCTTTACCTCAGGGAAAAATAAACAAGTAAAAATAAATAAATTAACCCGGCTTTATTGCTCTTATAGCAGCGAGATGACATCTTTCTGCTTGTGAGAAGCGAGGGGAGGGGGGAGAGGAGGCAGTGAGCAAGGAGCCCTCACCGCTCCCCGCCAGGTGACTGCGCCTTACAGCCACCAGCCACCCATCCCCGGGAGCGGCTGCGGGCGGCCAAAAACTCCAGCGGAGGTCCTAGCGGGTGCCTCGTCTGGCAGAGTCCCGCGCTCATAGGCGGTGCAGAGACGGAAGCAGCTCCGGCCCAGGCTCGTACTTGGACAGGAAAAACTTTCATCCTTTACCCCCGCTCTCCAGTCTTTACACCCCGCGCCGGAGCTCTGATGCGTAGCCTAGTCCAGAGAACAATTCTGTTTATCTCCACACAATGGCAATCCTGTGAGCTATAATGCGACTTACAGAGAGGTGATTGAGCGCAGAGAGCTCGGAGTGCGCACGAAATGCCACCTTCCCTACCTGTCCCTTTTCTCAGCTACCTAGAAGAAAAGGGCGTCCCGGATGCTTTTTGTGACACTGAACTAATTCCAAATATTTGGTACACAAATTTAGCGAGCCTAAAGCAGATTAATTTTCCACAGTAATCCAATTAAAAGATTTCTAAACTAATCTTTTTGGAAAAAGGAAAAGGAAAGAAAGAAAGGAAGAAAGAAAGGAAGAAAGAAAGAAAGAAAGAAAGAAAGAAAGAAAGAAAGAAAGAAAGAAAGAAAGAAAGAAAGAAAGAAAGAAAGAAAGAAAGAAAGAAAGAAAGAAAGAAAGAAAGAAAGAAAGAAAGAAAGAAAGAAAGAAAGAAAGAAAGAAAGAAAGAAAGAGAAGAGAAGAAAAAATAATAATAATAAAAAAAACAGTGCGAGGCTAAATAGGAAAATCTTTTTTATGGCAGTGATTTATTGCAGTTGTTCGTTCTATAGGAAGAGGCTTTCCGCACTTTTAGATGACCACTGTTCCTCCCTTCCGATATCTCAAATGCACCTCTGTAAATACGTGGTTTACGCTGTTTGTTTTTAATTTTATCTTTATTTTCCGGAAGTGTAAGGACCGAATCTCGTCCTTAACACATAGAAGAAGGAGTTCGGTCCCTCGCGAGCACCCGAGACTTTCTAAAGTGCTAATAGATTTATGGTCTCTTTTTCCGACGCCCATCCAGAGTAATTAGCACATATGTTCTAAATAGATGATAGTTTTGTGAGCAATAAAGCAATTACCCATCGCAGGAGTTGACAGTTCCTCCAACTAAACTCCAACCAGCAGCTAATTGGAAAAGTCATTTCAGCTCCATTGTCTGCAATTAGTCCTGCTAAACTATTACACCCCAACTACCTGGTTTGAGGTTTATTTATTCATTTCTATTTGCAATTGCAAACGTTCACCAAGTAAGTCACGCTCAACTTTTCCATTGCGGCGGTTCTCCTGGCCCGAGCTCGGCGGTGCTGCGCGGAACGGTGCACGCACGCGGCTCTGCGCCGCGGAGACAAACCCGCATTCCCTCGGACACCGCATCCTCACGGGCGAGAGGGGCGGCGGGGAGGATGGGAGGAAAGCGCTGATGCTGAGAAATGATCGCTTTTCTCCCTTCTCATTGAGTATGACCTCTCTGTCTCTTTATGCCCTCCCTCTGAGGGAGCCCCTTAAACCCTACGAGCTGTGCCCCTCTGCCTCTCCCCGCGGCGTCGGGGCGGCAGCCCCTCCGCTGTCCTCGAGGAGGGACGAGGTCTGGGGTCAGGGAGATCTTTTCTGCCACCCCCCGAAAGTGTCTGTGCCCCGTGTCCCCGTTTGAAGGAATTTGTGGGTTTGGGGGGAGGGAGGGAAGGTAGAGCGGGGGATGGTGGAGAGAGGGGGAATTAAGAGGCAGTTCGGGCTCAGTGAGTGCACAGTGAGTGGAAAAAATGTGTTAAACATCGGTTTGACGCCCCACCGGAGCTTCAAAATATACACCGGCCGGATTTCTTCTACTTAATTTAATCTTTACTGGACGGGGTTTCTCCTCGACATCTATTCAGCAGAAGTCCCAGCAAAAGTATCGCAGGGGGCAGGCGGGGGGGAGGACCCCTCAGCCTTCAGTTTGCTTCTCAGAGTGCAGCAGGTATTTAGCGGAAGCACTCCCAGGAGTTTGTAGTGCGTTTCTGAAGTCAATACTTGTGCCCGGAGCTTTAGCTGGTCCTGGAGTGGGGAAGATTTGTGTGCTGGGATGGGGACGTGTAGCCTTAGCAACAAAGTAGTCACTTGAAGGAATTTACAGGGAAAGCATCCCTGGCTGAGTGAGAAACGTCAATTTCTGAGCAGCAACCAGAGAAGAGATAGCGCCCCGAGCCTCCGCAACAAAGCTTCCTCTATCTGCTCGCGGCCCCGGAGCCGTCTGCTCCCTGTTTAGTTTTATTTTCCCTTCCCCCTGGGCTTCCAAAACGCAGTCGCCGGCCCTGGCACGGGGAACGCTGCCCACAGCCATCGACCGCCGCACCGCTCATCGCCGCGCTCGGGGCGTTTAGCGCAGCTCCGCGCGGCCGGGACGGCCCCCAAAATAAACAGTCCAACTCCTCCGGCAGCCGGCTCCCTGGCACCGTTCATAAGCACTATTGTTGGAGTTTAAAAAAAAAAAAAAAATCTGCGGGTGAGAAGCAGGAGGAGCCGGGCATCCCGCTCCGATCCCCGGCCCTGCGGGGAGAGATGAGCGGGGATTGCGAGGCAGCGCGGGGCCGGTTCGGTGCGGCTCCCGCACCTCCAGGCGGGCGGCCCCGCTGCGAAAGCCTTTTCGTTACTCCCTGAGCTTCCACCACCCCCCCTCCCATCTTTCTTCTTCTTCTTCTTCTTCTTCTTCTTCTTTTTTTTTTTTTTTTTTTTTTTCTTTTTCCATTACGAGCGATTAGATGGTGTCTATTCAAAGTTGCTGATCCAGAGAGAAAATAGGAGTAGATAAAAGGAGATTTCAAGTGACCTCCTCGTCCCTTTCACACCAACCTGAGCCCCAGAATAGCCAAGGATCAGCTCGGACAAAAGCCCTTTCCTTTTCCCTTTCAGCTTCAGAAGATTCAGTGCAAGGGGTTAACAATAAAACATATAACTCCGGCCCCGTTTGGTAGATCAGCCAATTTTGTATCCCTTATTAACGACACCGCTGGATGTGCCCGGGCTTCACCCCGAGAAACGTGTGAATAAGAAAAGCCTTTGGATGGTAAAATACATCGCTGTCATCTGCGGCTTTTGTGAGGGGCCGGAGCGGTCTGTGGCGTTTGTTCTCTTTACCCTAA